AAGAGGATAACATATTCACAAATGTTATTTATGAAATGCTTTCTTTTTTATCGAAATCTCATTTTACTGAAAGCCGTTTTCCATCCAGCATTCGATCCGCGTGCCACTAGCTCTGTCAGAACAGGATACGAAATGCGCTCTATAAACTCCAAACCAGACGGTACAAAGTCGACTTCCGAGATACGGAAAAAAAATTAATGGGTTCATTTTTTTAATTATTTCATTTCACTTTTTTTTTATTTCATAATCATTCATTATTAATTTTCATCCCATTTTTAAACCAAAATTTAATTTGAATTGTACATTTAAGGTGTTTCCACCCTCACTATTTTAATGGTTCAAAGTACAAAAACTGCATTTATTTTCATTAAATATACTTTAAATTTTCCAATTATTGCAAAAAATATATAGGTCACCATATTATTTAAGATGCGAAACATAATTTAACAGAAGTGTCTTTGAACATAAAAAATCGCACTTTTTTGTAAACAGTATTATGAAAAATATGTAAAAACTGGTTAAAATGCACAATTCTGATGCTGAATGTTCTAAAATACTTCTTACTTAAAAGATACTTTTGAATTGTGAATATCAGGGAAACTATTTTACAAAAAAGCAAATTCCTGAATGGAGAGACCTTAGACGGAGTTATTGCCCTTGTTAAATTTTTTTAAAGATTAAATAATTTATTAATTATAGAAAATATGCATTTTTTAAATTCTTTAATTTAACAATATTTATCATTACACCTATTGTAAGGCATTCTTCCAAGAGGTATTGTTCTATTAGGTATGAATTTAAACTAATTACAACTTTTGCAAAAACCTATGACATCATAGGAGGGTGGAATTACCTTAACATATGCATCCATATTACGGCTAATGCAATAGTCGTGCATGTCGTTGATGAGATTGATTTCTGTTGACTGCATTTTTACCACAATTAAAAAAAAATTAAGTTCAATTAAATTCAGTGTGTATATTCATAATATTTGTCACTGTAATTCAGTTACTTTTTTTAAATAAAAATGTTTTGTTAGATTACGACATAAATAAACGGTTGTACATTTACGCAGAATCAAGAAGATTTATCAATAATAATACCCAAGCTGAGCATTAAACAATTAAGAAATTGGAGACGTCGAGGGAGCTTGGGATTCCAGTACAATCACATTTCTACAGAGCAGCATTTAGTCAAAACATGGGTGTGAAAGAATTTCTGACGACGTCGAGATACCTTGAGTCGTCTGTGCGTGACGAGCGACCAGCTGACAAACAATTAGGTTAAGTAGAGCAGAAAATTGCCCCGATGTCGACATATACCAAGTAAATTTTGCTCTTGGAGCTGTGAAATACGTCGAGATAAGCGGGGTAGTCGACATTACCGAAGTCGACATATCAGAGTTTTTGCAAATCATTTATATAGTAAATAATGCCGGGACCGCGGACGGACGTCGACATATCCCAGGTTGTTGACATATCCGATGTCCAGATACCAAAGTTTACCTGTATTAAAAAATTGATCCTTGAATGTGAGAAAAAAAAAACATACCTTGTGGGAAGAAGAATCCAGACATCCAGAAAGACTTGGGCTGTCCGTGCCTAACCCAGTTATCAATGAAGGCACACCTGTAAATGAGGTCATTGACCCAGCTACCCAGGGGCTTCAGGGAGGGGTAGGCGGCGTTAGCCCACAGGCTGGGGACCTGACTGTTGATAAAGGCCTGGTAGACAAGCTCTAACTCGTCACTCATCACAACAAAACCTTTAATGGCCTTCTTCAGCTGATCCAGAGAGTTCTACAAAACCACAACAATGTCAGAATTAAGGGTCTCAGAATTAAAGGTGTCTTTATGGTAACACTGCAGTTAATTAATTTAAAGCATTGGGACAGGAATGTCTTTGTGTGGTGTTATACTCTAAAAAGGTATATGTCCTTCCAAGATTATAAAATATATTCTGTATATGGTACGCAAAATGTAATCAACTGCTTCAATATCCCTATTTAAGACTGGAAACATATAACATGAATAAGAAAAGCATTTGTATTTGGAGCTTGAACATGCACATATTACATTTAACAGAAAGCTTCTTGTATTTGAGAATCGAATGTGAATTAAAATAACCTTGACCTCTTCTTACCTTGATGACCTTCAGAAGTTTGTTAAATCTGTCCACTTCCTGGGTCAGCACGGTGGTCAGTGAATTCAGGCGACCTTTCTCGTCCGGCTCAAACATTTCCTGATTGGCCTGCTCAATGTCCAGTTTGTCCATCAGTTTACCCAGAATGCTCTCTGCTAACTCGTACACGATTTCATCGTTAGACTTTCCGGTTCCACCACTTGACTGACGGGGCTGTACGTCCAGAATGGTCTGGATCAAGTGGTTAGTCTCCTCTGCCTGGAAAGCAATGTTGGCATTCTCGTGCATGCCAAAGATCTCTGGTTCATCATTAATAGGTAGGGTCTCTATATAGTCTCTGTACTCCTGTAGGGTAGGGTAGTCAGGGGCATAGTATATACCTGTAAAAATTAACAACATGTCAGCATTTATTTCATAATTAATTTCTGTAGTTAAAAATCTTTATCCTAACATCACAAATTTTCAACGTAGGATGGGAATTTGAAAAATAAGCAACAAAAATTATCTATGTATTCTGCAGCAGAGAGAAAAGATAAGCGCATGTTAAGGAAATAATATTCTCCATTTGTAAATGTGACATGCATCAAGCAGGGGCATAGTGACATCATGCACACAAGTTAAAATTGCTGAACTTAGGTATCTAGAACACTGATATATTGAATACCATGAATATGTCACAGTCTGTATCTCTTATCCTTTAAGTTTTTCATGCTTGGTATCTGAGATCCTGAATTAACAGTCCCAACAAGTTGGAAATAATAGGGTCTGATTGTATTTGAATTTGTTACAATTCGTACTTTCAGATTGGACTCATTTATGGAGTAAGAATTGACAGGTGTATAGTTTTACCTGAGGTTGAGTACTTGTACTGTATTTGTAGGTGTATAGTTTTACCTGAGGTTGAGTACTTGTACTGTATTTGTAGGTGTATAGTTCTACCTGAGGGTGAGTACTTGTACTGTATTTGTAGGTGTATAGTTTTACCTGAGGGTGAGTACTTGTACTGTATTTGTAGGTGTATAGTTTTACCTGAGGGTGAGTACTTGTACTGTATTTGTAGGTGTATAGTTTTACCTGAGGTTGAGTACTTGTACTGTATTTGTAGGTGTATAGTTTTACCTGAGGTTGAGTACTTGTACTGTATTTGTAGGTGTATAGTTTTACCTGAGGGTGAGTACTTGTACTGTATTTGTAGGTGTATAGTTTTACCTGAGGGTAAGTACTTGTACTGTATTTGTAGGTGTATAGTTTTACCTGAGGGTGAGTACTTGTACTGTATTTGTAGGTGTATAGTTTTACCTGAGGGTGAGTACTTGTACTGTATTTGTAGGTGTATAGTTTTACCTGAGGGTGAGTACTTGTAGCCCTCCTCCAGTGTGTTGGGGTAGAAGAAAGTCTTCAGGATGGTCTCCAGGCATCTCTGATCAATGGCATCTGTCACACGACCTCCATAGGTGATCTGAAGAAATAATAATGTCATGTACCTTTCTGCAGGGGGAGTTCACAATAAACTGAGCAACTATTGATAAATATAAATGAAGAGGATCTCAAACTAAAATATAAGGAAAGAAAATACTGCTTTTACAGTAAATTTCCATGCTGCATGTTTACTTTGACAATAATTAATGCGGACGCTATGCAATGCTACATTACACACTTTTTTAATGAAGTACCTGATTCAAAACCAATATTTATTAGCTAGGAATAAAAATAACAGTGTATGAAATAAAGTTCTCAAATAAAGACTTTGCCCATACCTGCCAATTTATTGCCAATGAAAGAAAAAGTGAGCTAGCTCACATACCCCACTTTCCCCCATAACTTGATGGTGAAACACATAATGAAAGACACAGTCACTTTAAATACAAAAAGGGCAATAATTGCAAAACATCTTCACATCAAAATGTCTTGCAGATGAGGACATTTAATTGTGGAATGAAGTTTCCAGATAAATTATGGAATCAAAATTTCTTGACAATAAACAAATCCACACATTTATTTGAACAAGGGGGGGGGGGGTGTTGAGAAATTTTCTTTTTCTTGAATAATAGGCAAAACTCTTTGGGATAAAATAATGGAATATGTCCTAAATATCAGCATAGGTTGACGAAACTATGTACAACAGTTTAAGAGGAGTGGTGCTAACAAACTGTTCATCTCTATATTCAAAATATGGCAAAAAAGTATAAGTTAAAAAGTGTGGAAATTCATGGAAAAATAAAGGAATCGGAATTTCCTGGTAATATGCACATCTACACATTGTGTCCTAAATACCTGCAAAGTTTGATGAAATTCTGTGCAGTCGTTTATGAGGAGTTGTGCTGACAAACTATTCATCTCTATATTCAAGGTATGGCCAAATTCCTAAGTTAAAAGTGCGGAAATTCCCGGAAAATATAATGGAATCGGAATTTCCTGGTAATATGCACATCTACACATTGTGTCCTAAATACAAGCAAAGTTTGAGGAAATTCTGTGCAGCCGTTTATGAGGAGTTGTGCTGACAAACTGTTCATCTTTATATTCAAGGTATGGCCAAATGGCTAAGTTAAAAAGTGTAGAAATTCCCGGAAAAAATTCTGTGCAGCCGTTTATGAGGAGTTGCGCTGACAAAAAATGAGGACTGACTGACGGACTGACTGACTGACTGACGGACCAGTCAAAAACATTATACCTCCCGCAACTAGTTGCGTGGGGTATAATAAATGTGCATCCTTCAAAATTTTAAGACAAGTTAAGATTTTTACCAAATATGCAAATACATGCTTTACCTCGGAAACATTCAGAATGATACATACCATGCCTGTGATGTAGATAAGGGCGTCCCATGGAATGATTCCTTCTGCACAGAACATCTGACAGTTCAACTGAGCGCACTCACGATCACTGTCACTGAACTCATACTGAAATCAAACAGAATAAGACTTGTAACATCTGACCCTTCAACTGAGTGCACTCAATGTCACTGTCACTGAACTCAGACATCCGACAGTTCAAGTGAGTGCACTTGCGATCAGTGTAACTGAACTCATAATGAAATCAAAATAATTAGATTTGTAACATCAGACAGTTCAAGTGAGTACACTCGCGATCACTGTAACTGAATTTTTATTGAAATAATGATAATTAAAGACTCATAACATCTGACCGTTCAACTGAGCACACCTACATAACTCAACGGATCATACCGATATTAAACAAGTTGTCAGAAGATTTGCATCTGACAGTTCAATGATACCTAGTAATGAGCCCAACCACACTGTTGATAAAATATACCGGTATATGATTAAATATGTCTTTCACAAACACACTCTTTTTCAGTTCCTTCTCCCATTTTGCAAACTACTTAAGGTACTTGGAGAGAAATATACCCAATAAGTCAACTTTAATTATTGATTTCATAAATTAACTAACTAAAAGCAAAAGTTTTGTATAGAGGAGGCAGCTTTTCCTAAATAGAAACACAAGATAGCCAGACGTTATAATACTTACCCTGATGTTCCATCCCAGAGGACCAAACTTCTTCCTCTCCAGAATAACAGCATGGAAGAAACAGACACCGAAGATCATCCTCTTCCACTTGGACGCAAGCACTGAAAAAAGTCACAATTCAATATCAATAGAAACAGCAATAAAGTCAGTCTGAGGCCAGCAGTTATGTTTATATTATACTGTAAACATATTACATTTTGCTGTGTATTCTTTTTAGCGCCTTTCGCGGAAAGCAGCCTCCGCTAAATAAAGTACATCGCTAAATGCTTTGCATATAAAGGTTAATGTAAATCACATTCAAAAAGCGCTAAATCAAATCTACGCCAACTTGTTTAAAATTCAATTTCCGACAAATATCGTACACACCAAATATAATACATTTACAGTACTAGATAAAAATTCAGCACAACATTTTTAGCCCTGAAAATTTACTTTGTTTTGTATGATTGGGTGTGTATATATATATATATGTATATGATATGTGTGTATCAAGACAATACATAA